TTTTTGCAGTGGCTTTCCTCAGTTTAATAACAGTTTAATTGCTTTAAAGGGACTTTTCCTTGTACTTCACTGGAAAAAGTTTATCTGGTGGGGCTCTGGGGATTCTTAATTACTGGAATAGTTCCAGGAACTATGGAACTCGTGATCAATGTCATGAACTGTCATGATCAATGACAGTCTTTTGAAATACAGTCATAGAGAAATCCAGTGTAAGTGGTTTCTCAGTCTGCGGACTTGTGCTTGATGAGCTGCCTCATGCAGTGTCTCACACTGTGTTGGGGTGTGTGTGTTTGAACTAGCGTAGCTAGAAAATGGCAATTGCTGTAACAGCTTCTGCAGAGCCGCTCTCACTTTCTCCTTCCACGAACAGCTGCTGCCTTTGATCGTCTGGCAAATAACTTAGAAATGAGTAAAAATGCGTGCCGGGGCCTTTTCCTGCCCTCYGGTAGCTTGCCTTTGCTCCGGAGTGTCGGAGGAAACTCTGGGCTGCTGCAGGAGCGATGGGGACCAAAGCCGCCGCTCCCGGCGCCCCGCGCGGGGCGGCCCCTCTGAGAGCCCCTGGTGCCCGTGGAAGCTTCTGCGCTGGCTTGGGACAGCGACGGGGGCGCTGCCTCCACGGGCTGCCCTCGGGTGCTGGGGGCTGCCCTCGGGTGCTGGGGGCTGCCCTCGGGTGCTGGGGGCTGCCCTCGGGTGCGCTGCCTCCACGGGCTGCCCTCAGGGGCTGGGGGCTGCCCTCGGGTGCTGGGGGCTGCCCTCGGGTGCTGGGGGCTGCGCTCGGGTGCGCTGCCTCCACGGGCTGCCCTGCCCGGGGCCGCTCAGCGGGCTGCCCTTTGAAGACATAGCCCTGTGTTATGTTGACGTGGTGGTCTTATGGAGCGGCCTTTAGCTCCCTATTCTGCTATGAGAAATTTTTTCAGGGAAGATTTGTCCTCACATATCCCTTTGGTAAATAGTCCCTTTGCCGGTTTTGGGGGAATGCATTTATTACTGTAGTTCATCCACCATTAATTTATCTCCCACTTTACCTTGAACTTCATCCATTCCCATTCCCTAAAGATMTGGTAACTCACAGGAGCAATGAAGGCCTTGCTTCCCATGTCCTTCAGAAGAATCAGTGCTGCTGTGATGTGAAGTTGAGGTGAAGTTTTCAAGGTGGAAGCCCAGCATGTCCAATTACTTTCTTTTTGACATGCATCTCCTTGCAGAAGCAAAACAGCCCACTCGGTTCTGAGCAGTGTCCTTGTGTGTGGAAAGGATTGGAGGAGTAAAAACCTGCCCACATCATTTGAGGAATTTATTGAATCACGTTGAGGAGAACAGATATTCCCACAGGATCAAGTTATCCTTGTGCTTGAGAAGGGAATCTGTATGAACACATGGTCACTGAGCTCTGTTTGAGCACCAGGAATTCTGCCTGGTGCAGTGAGGCCCAAGGGTCTGAGGCAGGGACCTGGGGTGCTCTTAGGTTGTGGGTGGAACCAACGCTTGAGGTACCACCCAGAGGTGGGGGAGCTGTAGAAACCCTGTTTTACTCTAAGGGAGATCACGTAACTCATGAAATGGAAGAAAGTCAGTAAAGAGAAAAGGTCATTTTGGTAGAATAATTCGACGGGAGCTTGGATTTAAGCACAGTTTCTATAAACATATTTGGAGTTAGCCTTTTGTGGTTGATTCTCATAGCCCACCTCTGAGAGCTCGTATGCTTTTCGAGGGGCCCTGAGTCAGATTCTGTCCTTTAAGTTACTAGCCAGAGGTTTCTAAAGGTTGAAACAGCAAATACTGCAGTCACCTCAACCRCCTAAATAAGGGAGACTTTAGTGTTACAGTCCTGAGATCCCAGTGAGAGGCCTGCAGGGAGAAGGCCTCCCGTTACTGATGGGGGAAGGCATGTGTTTGATGGGCATCAAGGGGAGAACCGTAGTGATTAAATTCTCTGGSCTGTTACATGCTTTACAGAAAGTTTATTTTTTCACGAGCTCTTTGCCCTTCCACTCACGAGTTCGTTGCAGGGGTCAGTTCACGCCCCAGTAAAAAACCCTCAGCTTTGAATCTGTTTGGTTCGAGTGATTGAAAAGCTGAATCTGAGCAGCGAATCTCGAGGAACTGCAGCTGATTAAATGACTTCCCTTTTTTTCCCCTGGTGCGAGCTGCTACGCTTTTCTGGAAGAGCGTAGGGTAGCGCAGTGTAAATATGCAGCCAGGATGACTTAAAGCARTAAAAGGGGTGGTAAAGCTCGGCCTGCAGTGCCTGATTTAGCGCAGTCCTTTACTGTGGAGAGTATGAGGTGCTGCGGGGCACCAGGAGCCTCTAGGGTTTATTTCCCTACCTATCCCAAGCTGCTGAGACCTCGGAGYGTTCAGCTCCACTGGCCCTGCCCCCAGACCTGCCAGCTCTGCCCCACAGCCGCCCCAGAGCCTTCCCTCCATGGCACTTGCTGAGGGCTGTTTTCTTTATCCAGCTGTCAGATTTCACAGTTTGTATGAATTAAGTCTCTGTAGGACCTCTGCCCCTCTAGCCACATGAGCTGAAATTGTCCCATTGCTCTTCAGGTTTTATTGGTGATGCTTACACAGTGKTACCTCTCTTTTTCCTTAGGAAACCAAGCTTTGGAAGGTACTTTTAAAAGATTGCCTTGGCCAGAGTTTCTTTTGAAACCTTGGAGAGTTCTTGCAGAACTGAATGTTGTGTAAACAAGCGGATTGCATTTTAAAAAATAGGCTAACATATTTGATACCATACTTGGGTTTATTATTGTAGTTTAAGCTAAAACATTGAAAGAGATTTCTCTTCAAATTGGTTTCACGTATTGTTTTCCCTCTTGGAAAGCCCCATTCCGGTTGGGGATGGCTCTTCCGTCTGCCTGTGTGCTGAGCTCTCCCTGCRCTGGGTTCCAGAGCTGCCCAGGTCGTGCCCAGAGAGCTGTGTGCTGGGCAGGTGCAGGGCACAAGCTGGCACTAACTCACGGTGCTGAGCGGCCCTAGGCGGTGGTCTGAAGTGCACCACGTTGCCAAAAGTGCAGCCGAAGTGCATGGAAATGCGAGGACAGGCTGTAGGAGCAAATTTGGAAATGTTAGTGGGAAACGGGCATCGTTTGCTGACCTGTGAGTTGTGTTGCCAGCTTTCCCATCAGGACAGGCGCGTCGCTGCCAGAAAAACTGGGCAAGCATATTCAAGGGAAGGATTATTTGCATGGTTTATGATCTTCCAAGGAAATACCGAACAAAAGTGTGAAGACAGCGTGAAAGTGCCGGCCAAGAAGTCCTTCCTTGTAATCTTTACAACACCTGCTATAATTGGACCCATTTGCAGTTAGGTCTTTGGTCATTTCTGTAATTAAAAATTAGGCTTACCTTTGGAAAAACCTCTCGGACTTCAAGCGTAAGGATTTTTTTCTTGTTTTGACATGAGAAATAATAAAACAATTACGTGCAACTCGTGGGCTGGGAGCCTGACGCGCTGTCAGTTGTGCAAATCACACTGACAGAGGCCACTAATCTTCAGTCTGTGCATTCAGTTCACTTCATAGGTAGCTGCATGTAAGTAATCCCCCCGCCAAATGATGTACTCCTTTAGCCTCTTACTTCCCCTTAGGAGGCTTCTCGGGGGCCAGCGTCTCTTTCCTGCGCTGTTTCCTGCTGTGGTTTGGCTCCCCGTGTCCTCATCGCCAGCTTGCACGTTGCCAGGCTTTGGTGTGGCCCTTGTTCCTGCTTCACGGAGGGGACCGGGGGGTCCCCGGAGGGCCAGGGGGGCTTCACTCTGCAGTTCCCGCAGGGAGGGCTGCAGTAACCAGCCTCAGCGTAAAACTCACAGGAGTTCTTACAAAAAGTCCTTATTTCTTGGAGGAACAGCTCTTGGGGACTGGCAAAATCGAGGTCGGGTTGTGGCAGTGAGCCTAGGGTTAAAAAATAGCCTAGATGAAGGCTGCAGGATGACAAGTAGCAAAAGGAAGAAGAAAAAGGCATCCAGCTGCGAGCTGGATCTTCAAAGCTCTACACAACTCTATAAGTTAATGTTGGAAATGATAAAGGGCAGAGTAGAATTAGTCAACTAAATATAAGTGCAAGTTTTAGTCGCCCGCAGTGCAGACCATGGCCCCGTGCTTTCCGTTTGTGCTGAGAGAGGAGAAAGCAGGAGGCTGTTCAGGCGTTCTGGAAGCGGAGGGCGGCTGGTGCCGGGGCTCCTCGCGCGGCCTCCTGACCGTTTGCCAGGCTCGTGGGCAGCCCCGCTGTTACCGCACTGGCCTCAACCGCGTGGAACATAAGCGATATTATGYGTAGATGAGAAATACGTCTTTTGCAGGAGTCTCTGTGCTGCACAGATATTCTGATACGTCTTTAAGGCTTTTATGGGCATATGTGAAATATCGCTTGCTGTCTTGGTTTAAAATGCCTGCCTGTTTTACCTGCAGCTTTACCTTGATTTGCCTGCAGAGGTTACTGGGTGGAGTGGGGATTGCGTGTGCCAGCCATGTCCCCCTTTTGCAGAATATATGCCGAGTTCCTGGGATTYGAGAAATCTTTTAACTTCTTTTTAAAGCAATTTTAGCTTTGAAAGAAGCAAATATCCCATGGGTAAAAATAAATCAATTAGGAACTGCAAGTATGTAAGAATTATGTTCTAGAAGGTCACTAGGAGCATATTTTCACATCTGCCTAATCTCGTTTTGTGTTCTTTTTATTATGGGAAATGATGGAGGAGCATCTGAAAAGAAATGCCTGTGGGTATTGTTCCCACACTCAGCACTACTGGACTCATTTCTGGTAATTTCATTGCTATCAGTTCGTGTCCTTCCTTTGTCATCCCTATAGCATCCTGAAACAAAACAAAATCAGAACATATATTTGAAGGATACAGCACCAAACTTTCAAAATTAGTTTTGAGAATCAAACTGGGAAGGGACACTTGCTACTGTATTCTGTTTCATCGAAATTTAAAAATGAATCCGTTTTAACTTGCGTAGAGTATACTCACTTTCTGTATTTTTCTGTTTTTGTTGTAGAGACGTGGGGCAATTTCCTATGACAGCTCTGATCAGACTGCGCTGTACATTCGTATGCTAGGTAAGCACGCCAGTGTTTCTGCATTGTCAAGTTCTAATATTTGTGACCGTTTTCAAATATTATGTTTAAATATTTGTATATTATACTCTTAGACATAACTTGGTCTTTCTCCTGCATAATATTTTGGTTAGATTCTTCTTGTTTAGAGCTTTTTTTAATTGACTGTTGCATCCGATATCTCTCTTGGGTTTATCTGTTAAAAAGAAAAGTGATGGTGTCAATAATTAATCCTGTAATTATTTTCCCTGGTGACTCTAATTTAGGGTGAGACATATGAGAAAAGGCTTGGATTTGAGTAATGACTTATCTTTAATAGTATTTGACTGAGAACTTATCTTTAATAAAATATATTGTCCCTGGTAAATGTATATTGACAATATCACGGCRTGTGTTTCTGTTGCGGTGATGTTCATTCATGATGGATCTTTATTTCTATTATGCAGCTTTTGGTCGCCTCTCATTAAAACYGTGTGTAGCTTAGAGAATGGCTCTCTGAGAGAGTTCCAGTCTCAGCACTGAACCGGTGGAATGCTTGAGCTCTTCTTCAAACATTAATACGGTTTGAAATTACACTTCTCGTGTTCATTCTCAAAGATAACCTGAGAAGGGAAAGACAGCCTGACAGGGCCAGCGTTTAGCAGCTGGCAGAATGTTTCCAGAGCAGTAGTTAAATAAAATTAGAGCCTGATCAAAAGGAAAGGGCAGTGTGGACCAGAGCCCCTCTGTGGTACCGAGCGCGCAGAGGCAGGAGCTGAGGTTGGAGATGGAGCAGCAGGAGCTSCCGAGCTCTCGTGGGGCCAGGCAGCTCCTGCTCCTCCTCTGGATGCGGCTCCTGGGGTCTGAAGGACTCTCCAAACCCCTTGGGTCTCCCTCACTCCCAACTCATGGTGCTTGCCCCAAGCCATTGCCAGCACAGATACACACAWATGCAATTTCGGACTTAGCTGCTTACATTCTTGTTTTTCAGTTACCTGCTCTCTCAAGTTTGTGAAGTTAATACTATTGGGCTCACTATCCACTAAAATTTTTTTTTGATGTGAAGATATAATGACTTTAGAGACTTGTAAAGTGGAGGTGGATGGAAAATGCTGTCTTTCAAGTGTTTATGAAAAAGAAGTGTTAGTTTGATTGCTTTTCTGGTTAGAGATAGGTTCATTTTGTTCTTGAAAGTCAAAATAACTTTTTTTGTTTTTTGGTAATCCTTYTTGCAGGGTGAGCGGTAGAATTCTCCAAAATGTGATTGATTCTTCTGCTCTGGTCAGAAGAGTATGAAAGTAAACTCAGGTCTGGGGTTGTTTRTTTCTTTGATTTTTGTGATTCTTGCTTTTTGAGTAGATTTATTTTGTACTATAAGTAGGGTCCTCCCACCATTTTTTCTGCTTCAAAATYACAAAAATTGAGTCATTTTGAAAAACTTCCCCAACAAGGGAAATATGTATTAAGTTCTTTAAAAAGCTTTCRTATACTTGAATTAAAGGTAGTGTGAGTATATAGTTTTTGCCTCTTCAAAACTAATCTCTTAATGGTAAAAGGTCAGCTTGTAAGAAAATATTTCTTAGTATGTGGACAGARGGATCTGATTTCTGTTTCTGTTGCTGGTCTGGGAGTTTAAATTAGTTCTGAAGAAGGTGAGCCCRTGATATCTGGGGAAAACCTTTGCAATAATGCTGAAGTAAACCTAAAGGAAAGCAGGGCAGGACTTGCTGTGGTTCTTTGTGTATATATAACCATATATATAATGGCATGACTTACTGGTGTTCTTGTCTAGTAACACTAGCAGTTCAGAGGTAGGAAGTCTTTAAAAGAGTTGACCTTTTCTTTTTTCTGCTGGAGGGAGGACAAACAAAATAAAAAGAAATGCTCATTACATGTTTGAATTAATTTGTTAAACAGGGTGTTTTCTCACTGGYGAGCGTTTTGTATGCTAAATGTTAACTGCACTTTGCTGTACAGCTGTTTACAGATTTCTTTACTTACAATTCTACTTATAAATGGAGTGTAAAAAAGACTCTCTTGAAAGCTGAGCAGTTTCCCACGTGATTATGCAGCAGAGTCTCCTGCAGGTAGCTGCAGAAGCCCATGTATTAGATGGGGATGTGGGGAGTGTGGCGATGTGGGATGCTGCGTTCCCGGGGGGCGAGGAGGAGGTTGGGATGCTGCGTTCCCGGGGGGCGAGGAGGAGGTTGGGATGCTGCGTTCCGGCGCGGCGTGGCGCGGCTCACCTTGCTGCCTCCAGCAGAGTGACTGTGGGAAAGGCTCAGCCATGGTGTGGCGGGAAGCTGAGCTCGCTTGCAGGGATTTGCCCTTCCCTGGGTTGGTCACGAGTCCAAAGCGACTAAGTCTGCTAGTAAACCCTGCCTAAATAAGGGGTACCATTTATCAGGTTAAAACCACCAGGTTAAGGTTTCCTCAGGCACACGCGGTGACGGCTCTGCCGGCTGCGCTTCCCCTTAGGGTTGTGCCCTTCCCTTTGGCAGGCTGTTCAGATGGGAATCCCCCGAAAGCTCCTGTGCACCGAGTAAATCCAAATGACCTGTGGTCTGGGGGTGGTTTTGGGTTCAGCTTAAAAGAAGAGCAAGTCTTAGGGCGTACGAAGCGAGTAACAAACTGTCCTTGCCAGTGTCGGTATAAGCAAAGAGTATTGACTCGAATGGCTCCCCTCTCCTACCCCGTTCCTAAGATCCATCCTCAGTCACTCCTGAGTGTCTGACGCACTGTTTTAAAATACAGATACAGATCCAGAACTGTAGAATCTTTCTCGGAAGATCTTTGAAGGACTAATGTATCTCATCTCCCTGACCAGCTGCTGCTCTCGGCGACCAGGAGGGATTCTCCCTGTTGCTCCTAAGCGTTTCCTCTGTGGGATCGTAACTGGCTGCACTTGCTCTCTGCTCTTCTGTTTGTTTTTTGTATTTTTTTATTAATGTTGCCTGAAAATTTTGGTGCTGTGCATGGGGCTGGAAATGCGGGGTGCAGACTGCCTGTCTCGGGGAGCACTGAGCCCAGTTTGCAGGCACCTCGAGCAGGACAGTGCTCTGAACAGGCACCCGTGGAGGCCAACAGAGGTGCAGTGCAGGTACACGCTCCCCGTGGCAGCACTTGCTACCTTGTCCTCCTTTTGCTTTAATTCTGATGTGCTCAGCTGACCTGTCGTCTCTTTCTCCAACACATTTAGTCCAAACTTTACCTCTGAAGCTGGCCACCCTTGCTGGAAATGCTGCCTCTCACAACTTGTGGGAGCGTTTGCCTCGAGGAAATGGTGGCAGTCGCCGCTGTCGGCCGCGCTCTCCACGGGCTCCGCTCCTCTCCCTCCTCTGCCCCCTCTGTCCCCTCTCTCCCCCGGCGCGGGGTGCGTTAGRGGCCCTCAAACACGAGCTGTGTTGCGGCCCCAGCGTGTGGGGATGTGAGCGGTGGCGCTGCAGCCGCCTCGCGCGCAGGCCGGGCGCCAGGTAAGTCCTGCGACACCCGCCTTGCTTCTCCCTTTGCGCTTACACCCGTGAATCTCCCTCTTGCAGCCCTGCCGACTTCATCCTTCAGAGGAGTTTCCCCCTTCGCCCTCCTTGTGTTTAACCGGCGAGCGCTCTGGTCRCGCAGGGCTGCTCCAGAAACACCCTGCAGCTGAGCACAGGGCCCACAGAGACTGCGTCCGTGCGCAAAGACAGGCTTTGGAAAGGGAGGCTTCACCCTTGCTGCCCTTCTGAAGAGAATATAATTTCTTTTTATCTTTCTCTTCTTAATTCTTTGGAATCACTGAAACTCGCCAAGAGAATAAAATTAATTTCTGAAAGTCTGCTATCGTTGAATTTGGTCCCTTAAGAAAAGGCAGGAACTGTTTCAGGGACTCCAGTTGGATTTTGACTAGAAATGTCACTTTTTTTCCAAGGTGACTGAGTTCTAAACTTCAGATTGAGTGGCTAAATCTAAGATAAGAACTGTGAAGCAGATAGTTGCCTTTCTTAGGCCAAATTTGATCTTTTTTTTTTTTTTTTTTTTTGATATATCAACTTTCTGCTCCACCAAGGAAGTGTTAGCTATAAGCCAACAGAGCTATCCTGTGGTTTCAGAAGATTCTGTAACTCCTCTGAGACCTTAAAAAAAAGATCCTAAATAAATTTTTCAAAATTATTAATTTCTCCTTGGGTATTAAATTTATTTAACTTTTTACTTACTATAATAATTATTTGTTCCTGAAGCTGCTTTAAGAAAGCCTATTACCTAATAGCATCCTTTTACTTGTGGGAATTCATTGGAATCTGAAGTCTCTTATGCCTTTCTTTTTAAAGTTATCTGTGATGCTAAATATGTTTCTTTGATAAGATTGAATTCTGAGTCATTTACTGGACATAATGTTACAGAATCTTGTGCAGGATTTCTCTAGCAAATCAGTGCGAGTGTGTTATGTTTGGTTAAAAAAAAAAAAAAAAAAAAAAAAAAAAACCCAAACCCCACCAATCTGGATGCCGTATCTAAGATATATTGATATTTGTAGATTAAATCAGCTGGCCAGTGCTGCATGCTGGTGGTCCAGTGTTTTGTCACACGTGAAGCAGAGTCAGCCTCCCTGTGCTTCTGTGTCGTGTGTGACGTTAGGAGGTGCCAGTGGGCAGACAGTTTGAGACAACTCCTTTCTCTGCTTCTGTGCCTGTTAGAAATCCCAGATACGATGTGTGTGGCATCTCCCAGTTCTATCTGAATCAGACTCTCTACTTTGGTTTACTGAGACAAATTCCAGGGGCAGTATTGTCAGAATTCCAGAATAAATCCAAATGCTACCAATTGTTAAGAACTCAGTTGTAAAGAAAAAAATCAATTTTCTGCCACAGTCAAGGACAGAGAATGTTGCCTACAAGCTAAGAAAGCCGTTTTTCTTGCTTTCCTTTGTTGAGAACTTTTTACTTCATTAATAGGAAAGTAAATAATTTGATATTACCTGTATCTTACTGTGAAAGTAGTAGTGGGAGGGAGAAGAAAAAAAAAAGAACAAAAATTTCCAAGKGTCACTTGTCAGGCAAACTTCTCTTGTTCTTTCTCTTGTTCTTTTTCAGAACTTTCAAGTTCAAACTTTCTTGTTCAGGTATTTTTGCCGAACCATCTCCTTTATTTTCCTTTTCCTATTCTTGATACTTTGGACAAGTAAATTCTTCACCAGACCATAGCTATATATTGATTTATGAAAGTGTCATCATCTTTTCTATCAAAAATTAAACAAATACATGAGTAAAAAGCTAAATATTCAACTCAAACTTCCCTTATTTTCTTCAGGTCAGCTGATGAACTGAAAGATCTATCAGTAACACAAGCTGTAGTTGGGTGATTATTTTGGAATATAAGGATATATAATAATATTATAACATTATTAATACATACATAATATATAATATTGGAATCTAAATATAAGGAAAAAAATTTCCTATGTGTAAACTAACACTTTCATATATCGCCACTAATGTAGTTGCCGCCCTTTTTCCAGAATATCTTCCTCCTTGCTTTTATTCATTATTTTGTAAATAATATTTGCCACTTGTCTTTGTGCCAACCCAGAAAACTTCTMCAAATTGCTGCCTCTGTATTGTCTACAAAATTTTAAAAGTGAAGCCTCTTGCACTCTGCTCACACGAATGCTTGAAAAATTTGTAATTTGATACATTGCCCATAAACTGAAAATAGCTTTTATACAGAGTAATTGGGTTACTTACCCTTGCAGCTCTTAAATTCTTCATTTTCAAAAAGGAAGGAATAGCTGAAAACCACATACATTTGTTGTGTTTTTACTGATATGAAATGTCCAATACACCGGGAACCCGGGGTCTCTTTGTCTTTTGTGGCACTTCTAGGGTGCCTCACAAGATAACGCTCTCATGTGAAGTGTGTCACTATAGATATGTCTGTGTTCAGAGATCCCTATCTCTAGAAACATTACCTGTTAAGGGTGGAAAGTGCTCTGCAAAAAATTTGGGAGAGCATCTTCAGCTTTTAATCTCAGGTTCGTTGTCTGTGCTTTGTRTTGCTGGTGGCCTTAGCACTGCAGATCAACAAGCTGGAGAAGAAAAGAGAAAAGCGATTTCAACATATTCGAGTAATTGTTTGAAATAATTTTRTGTGAGGAGTATAACAGAAATTTCAGTGATAGGAACAAGAACGTTATCACATGTTATATTTGACTTTGCTAGAGTTTAGAAGGAAGGCAGAGAGGCAGGAATTACTATATATTTAATCCTCAAGGATTTGCCAAAATTTGTAATCACTGAAGAATTTTAAGCAATTTTTTCTTTTTTTTTAATCAAAGTGGACTGCCTGTATTCATGCATACCAGTAACTACTGAAAGAACACTGATCAGCTTTGAGTTGGTACAATTCCTAAGTAGAAATCAGCTAGCATGGCAAAAGATTCAGGTTAAAGCTAATTGCAGTGAAAAATGGTTTTATAAAATTTTAATACTGAATTTTGGTATTTTAATAGGCTCTTGTGTAATATTCAAACAGCTGAGCACAAGTAAGTAAATGCCAGTGGGAAATGTTATATTTTGCAATATGAAACTATATTATAGCTACTTTATTTGCTAAAAGCTACCATTTCTAGAAGCCGAATATTTTATTGTACTACATGACTGTTAAGTGTTTTGCGTGTGTTACTGAGGAACAAACCAACTTTTGGTGTTCTTGTTTACTCTCATAATAAGGTGCATTTTTACCATACTGGTGTAACAAGATGTTTCTAATTTCACGTATTTCATCTGAATGTTTATCACTTGTTTTTGGCAATGTATGCTTAGGCAGAAGAGATTTTGACCAAAACAAAACAAAAAA